ATGGATGAAATTATGTGTGAAGGTTTCAAATATATAGGCCATAATGATGATAATAATGGTGATTTAACATCAGTTTCTTTTGGAATGGCTATTATGCTGGTGACTTCGTCACTCACGGTATATTTACTTACTATTCCATTACATACATCATTATGTATAGTGTTATTTAATAAAAACATAGCAATAACTTAACAATATTCCCATAAAAATTTAATTGATCATTCGAACGAAATAAACTGTTTATAAATTTTTTTTTATAATAATAAAGATATGGCATCTCCAAATTCGACGTCACCGATTTTGTGCATTCAAGTAATCGATGTTTAATTTGGGATGTTTGGGTGGCTCTTCCTCACCAACTAACTGTTTGGTTGGATAAGAAAATAAGTCTAAAAAAAATTTCGTCTCTTCATCAGTTCAACCCTTTTTCTTCCTACTTGTAACACCAAAACATGCTTGGCTACTAACTTCTTCGAATAAAAGATTATTTTGACCAATTAGTCCAAATGATATTGATGCAATTATTTATTTATTGACCTTTTTTTTACACTGTAAATTTAAAAAAGATATGTTAATTGCGTTTTTTGAAAAAAGTAAATTTTTTTTTATAATAATAAATATATAGCATCTCCAAATTCGACGTCACCGATTTTGTGCATTCAAGTAATCGATGTTTAATTTGGGATGTTTGGGTGGCTCTTCCTCACCAACTAACTGTTTGGTTGGATAAGAAAATAAGTCTAAAAAAAATTTCGTCTCTTCATCAGTTCAACCCTTTTTCTTCCTACTTGTAACACCAAAACATGCTTGGCTACTAACTTCTTCGAATAAAAGATTATTTTGACCAATTAGTCCAAATGATATTGATGCAATTATTTATTTATTGACCTTTTTTTTACACTGTAAATTTAAAAAAGATATGTTAATTGCGTTTTTTGAAAAAAGTTCACTCATGTATAAAACCTCGCTATTGATTTTGCATAATCTTTATTTTTTGAGTTTTGTCAAGTTCATATTTCTTCACTAGTTAATAAATGATAATCTGCTAATACTTGGCCAACTATTGATAATGATATATAATTCTTCATAATTCAAAGAGTTAAAATATATTTTTCTGTCAGTGCATTTACTATTTCAACTATACCATATTCTCACTATGCATGTGGTAGAAATAGGTTGATCACTTGACTCAATCAAGTGACTTACGACGCAATTAAAAATTGAGATTTTGAGGATTGAGTCAAAGCCAAATTAATTTTGACAACATGTATAATTCTCACATTGTACCTTTTGTCATTGGCTTGATTGTGTTATGACGCTGTTGTCGGTTATTGTTTTTGTCAATATTGTTATTATTATTATTAATCATTCTTGGGGATGTTTTTGGGTATGATGAAAATAAGGAAACATTTGATTGGGATATATTTAAATTATCATAATTTGTAAAAGAATCATTGATATTAGAAGTTGCAGTCATGGAGGTGGTGGTAGTAGTTAAAGTACTATTATTATTGTTATAATGATTATGATTATTACTATTAATATTATTATTATTATTAGTGCACCTGTTGAAAATTACAATTATTCATCATCATCAACACCATCATCACGGAAGCACACTAAAACAATAGAAACACCAACAATGACAAAGAACGATATTAATAGTAATGTTAATGTTAATGATAGTGATATTGTTAATGGTAATGGTTGTATTAATATCGCCAGCAGTAATGGCGGAGATAAAAGTCCACTTCCAAGTCCTCCATCAGCAAAAGGTCGTAAAAATATGAAAAATTTACAATTGGTTGTTCCTCCTGTGAGATCTTCCATATCAGCTCCAAATTCTCCGCAATTACCACCAAACAATTCCACCTATTCTGCCTATTCTCACAACAGACGTCCTTCAACACCGTTATGCTTCTACCAAAATAAAGATGTTGCAAACTCTAATGCCGCAGATCCAATGGCTTTAATGTCAAAGACTGAAAATGCTATCGGTGAAGAGTTGCCATACAAAGAAGAACCTATACGTATATTGGATAATTTATATCTTGGTTCTGAATTAAATGCTGCAAATCGTTCAATGTTAAACAGACTCAACATAGAATTTATTCTTAATGTGGGTAAAGAGGTAGAAAATCCTTACTTGGACGAAATAGTAAACTCTAACACAAGTGATACAAACACAAGCGACACAACCACAAGTTATTTCGATTATCAACATTTTTCTTCTTCAATGTTACCAAATCCATCCACGCCTTCTGATGATAGTTTCAAAAGTGATATACAATCTCCTCTGCCACAATTTCATGAGCCTGCATCGTTTGTGCCCTCTCCAATCGATTTATTAAGATCCAATTCATTGAAAAAAAAGTCTGCAATTTCACAACGTTCATCATCGTCGTCATCATCATCGTCATCATCATCATCTAGCTCTCCCTCAGCTCTTCTTCAATCGGCCCGGAGTGCAATGTTATCAGGGATTCCTTTGACAGTGCCTGCAACATCCAAACATAATAAACAAATAAAATATAAGAAATTCTTTTGGACTCATAATCAAGAAAATCTTATATCTGATTTCGACTCTGCGTTTGCTTTCATTAATGAGGCTCGTTCTGCTGGTAAAAGCATTCTGGTCCATTGTCAGTGTGGCGTTTCACGTTCCGCTTCCCTTATTATAGGTTATGTTATGGAAGCCAATAGTATGAATTTGAATCAAGCCTATGAATTTGTAAAAAATAGGAGTCCTTATATTAGTCCAAATATGAGTTTAGTATATCAATTGGTGGATTTTGAAAAAACTTTAAAATTAAACAACAACAATGAAAGCCACAACAATAGTAATCGCAATAGCATTAATAGTTCTTTGCCTAGCACACCGACTAAAAGTCAAGCTGAATCTATAAAATCACATTCTCGTCAATCGAGTATAGAAAGTGACTTGCTTCTGAAAAGTCATCGTCGTAGTAGCAGTATCCCAAGAACTCAAATCAATAACAATAGTAATCATACCACTAATAATGGTTATTTGACATCACCGTTCAATATTACTACCTCTACTACTCATAATATTATTAATGGCATTAGTATTAATATTAATGATTCTCCACCAAAAACTCCTTTAATTCCTCCTTCTGAAGGATTATTATCCATCCAGCCACATCAAGCCACGGTGAAAGGTAATGGTTCAGGGAGATTCCATGTTATTACAGCCTCTATGACACCTACAACTCCAACTGCATTATCACCGGCTTCTTCCCTATCACCAACAAGCAGCACTTCACCTACTACGCCTTCAAATGAATTATCATCTCCTACTACCAATAATTCTAAATCAAATAGGTCACCTCTTCCTTCACATTTACCTTCTACAAACTCGCCACCATCATCATTAACTCCATCCCAAAGTTTAACAGAATTATCAAAACTGGCACTTGCAAATAGTCGACCATCAGGTGAAAATGTGACATGATTAACAAGTTTTTGATGACCTGTTATTCTTTCAATAGGTTTTTTACTTATTGACGGATCCCAGAGAAACATTGTAAAGTCGTCAGACCCCGAGACAAGTTTTTCTGATTTTGCCCCTTTCACCACAGCCTGGTATCGTGCCAATGCCCACTCTTTTGCTGTTATTTATAAGAATAATATTTATTATCAATATGTACATAAATAAATAAATATAGATATTTATAAACACACCTTGATTTTC